ACATCAGTGTTAGATGGTTGAAGGAGAAATAGTACAAGTATAAGAGTCCACTCTGTACTTTAAGGAATGCAACTTAACATGTGCTCGGTTAGACACGAGTTTGTTATCGATCCTAACTCAAACATCATAGTGTTTCAAGATCTCTCTTTTGTAGGACAACTCAGATTAGGATCCCTATCAAATGTCAATTTGGACAGCTATTCCCGACTAGATTTTTGCAGTAATAGATACCATTTTATTAATCCGAGGGACATCTTCTTGCAATTTTTTGAGCATGGATATCCTTTTGAAGCTTTGGTTTGAGAGAACCAAGAGTAATGTGTCAAATGGGAAGCAATCCACCACCACCAAATTAGGGTTTATGTTTTTGTTTGAGATTCAACTCCTTCCAACTTACATTGGGGTAACAAAGATGAGATTTTGAGAAGCACCCACATTGGGAAAACACACCCTTTACATAATTTTTAACTTAGATTTAGGATCTAGTTAGGGAATTTAGGGTTACCCCACGCCCCAAGGGATTGCCTAGGGTGGTCACTAAAGCCACATTCCAAGGCTTATCTCATCTATTTCTTCAAAAGTGACCTTTTTTTTTTCTTCATCTTACTACACAATACACACCTACATTCCTTCGCGTGTGGGAGACGGTTTGTTGGCTATCTGATGGAACCCTTATATATGTAACAATTCAAACTCATCGCTAATAAATGTTGTCCGTTTTTGCTCATTGTACATCATTGTTAGCCTCACAGTTTTAAAACACGTCTATTAGAGAGAGATTTTCACACTCTTATAAGGAATGTTTTTTTCCTTTCTCCAACAGATGTGGGATGGAAGGCCCAACATCCTTGTTGGCCCACCGCCCGGTGTCTGGCTCTGATACCATTTGTAACAGCCCTAGCCCACCTCTAACAAATATTGTCTACTTTGGCTCATTACGTGTTAATGTCAGCCTTATGGTTTTAAAGCGCATCTACTAGGGAGAGGTTTCCACATCTTTATAAGAAATGTTTCGTTCCTCTCTCCAACCAAAGATCACGTATTTGTTTAAATTGCTGTCAGTTAGTGTCTAATTAAATATCCGTTAGGAGTTAGATTTAGTTTTTTATTTGATTTACTCTTGATTTGATTAGATTTTGTTTTGATTTAATTTGTTTATTCTAGATATCTCTTTGTATTCTCTGTATATATATAGAGCATTCTTGCTCTTCAAAATTTATCAATCTTCTCATCAACCATTCAATATGGAAGGAGAATCTAGTTTTTCCGCTGTTGCACCACCAATCTTCGATGGAGACAATTATCAAATGTGGGCAGTTCGTATGGAGACTTATTTGGAGGCATTGGATCTTTGGGAAGCAATAGAAGAGGATTACGAGGTCCCTCCGCTTCCAGCAAATCCTACTGTAGCACAAATCAAATTATAAAAGGAAAAGAAGACAAGGAAATCAAAGGCGAAAGCTTGCCTATTTGTCGCTGTATCTCAAATGATCTTCATGCGAATAATGTCCCTCAAAACAGCAAAGGAAATCTGGGATTATCTCAAAGCAGAATATGAAGGAGATGAGAGGATTCGTGGAATGAAAGTCCTGAATTTGATAGGGATTTCGAGTTGCAAAAGATGAAGGAGTCTGAATCGGTGAAAGAGTACTCTGACAGACTTCTCAGCATTGCCAATAAGGTAAGATTACTTGGTTCTGTATTAAATGATTCCAGGATCGTTGAAAAGTTGCTAGTCACTGGTCAAGAGAAGTTTGAAACCACCATTACTACTCTAGAGAACACCAAAGACTTGTCAAAGATTTCTCTTACAGAGCTCTTGAATGCTTTACAAGCACAAGAGTAAAAGAGGTCTATGAGGCAAGAAAGGGTGATTGAAGATGCCTTACCTGTTAAGCATCAAGACAACAGTAGGTATAAAAACAAGAAAATTTTCAAAAACCAATCGACGTATGGAGATCCATCTGCAAATTATCAGAAGACAAAAGAAGGAGGTTTCAAAAAATCCTATCCACCTTGCCGCCATTGTGAGAAGAAAGGTCATCCACCATACAAGTGTTGGAGAAGACCTGACGCCTTCTGCTCCAAATGCAATTAACTTGGACATGAAACTGTGATCTGTAAAGCCAAAAATCAGGTGAAAGAAGTAGATGCACAGGTAGTTGATTAAGAAGAGGAAGAAGAAGATCAATTGTTTGTGGCCACTTGTTTCTCAGACAAAGAATCAAGCGAGAGCTGGTTGATTGACAGTGGGTGCACAAATCATATGACATATGACAAAGAGTTTTTTGAAGAATTAAGAGACTCTGAAGTCAAGAGAGTGAGGATTGACAACGGTGAACACTTGGAAGTCAAAGGAAAAGGCACAGTAGCTATAACAAGTTATGAAGGTACAAAATTTATTCCAGATGTTTTATTTGTACCTAAAATTGATCAAAATCTCTTAAGTGTTGTCAGTTACTTGATAAAGGCTATAAATGTTTGATCAAAGATGTTAGTGGCAAAGACTTGTTCAATGTCAAAATGAAAGGAAAAATTTTTGCTCTAAATCCGATGGAGAAAGAGCAGATGGCCTTTATATCCAAAGCTAGTGCCACTGAGATTTGGCACAAAAGACTTGGGCACTTTCATCATCGAGGTTTGCTTCAGATGCATTCAAAGAAGTTGGTAGAAGGACTCGCTGACATTAATGATGGCATGCCTCCTTGCCGTACTTGTAATTTTGGGAAGCAACATAGGCAATCCTTTCCTAAACAGGCATGGAGAGCCTCGAAAAAACTTCAGCTTGTTCATACTGAGCTTTGTGGTCCTCAGCAAACACCATCATTAAATGGTAATCTTTATTACATTGCTTTTATTAATGATCTAGCAAGAATGTGTTGGATATTCTTGTTGAAGCAAAAATCAAAAGTTGCGGGTGTATTTTGGAAATTCAAAGCCAAAGTTGAGAATGAAGGTGCATGCTTGATTCAGACCATAAGATCAGATAATAGCAAGGAATACACTTCAGAAACTTTTAACAGGTTTTGTGAGGAGGCTAGAATTGGAATTGAACATCAATTGATAACACCATACACTCCTCAACAAAATGACGTCAGTAAAAGGAGGAATAGATTCATAATGGAGATGACGAGATGCATGCTTCATGAGAAGGATCTTCCAAAATGTTTTTGGGGAAAAGCAGCAAACACTATTATGTGCTTGCAAATCAAATTTCAACAAAAGCTATGAAGGACTTGACACTAGTGGAAGTTTGGTATGGTTACAAACATTCTTTAAAGTTCCTTAGAGTATTTGGGTGTCTTTGCTTCACTTACATTCCACAGGTCAAGCGTGATAAGCTTGACAAAAAGTCAGAAGTTGGCATCTTTGTTGGCAAGTTAGAAGAGTCTGAAGATGAACGACTAAAATTGTCTGAAGATGAACAACAAGATGTTTTGGTTGATGATGCACCTGTCAGAGGAGGAGCTTTCAGTGATCGAGAAAAACAAAATCTGGGAGTTGGTTGATCGACCTCTAAACAGAAAGATAATTGGAGCAAGATGGGTGTTCAGAAAAAAAAAAAAAAAA